TACTACATATGCTGTTTCTAAATTTGTCGTTGGGGCAAATATAATATGCAAGTGCAACTTGATTTACTTTTTGGATTCTTAAAGTAAATGAAATATTAATATAACTAATGTTCAATTTAAAACCTATGGCAGTTATTGATGTTGGACGAAGGGAGCATGAACACAATACTCAGAGAAAATTAACAAAGAAAAAAAAGTAGAGGTCTTATATCCCAATGATTAATCAGTTTCTCAATAATTTTTATGTAATAATTACGAATTTGAATCTCACCTAGTATGGAATTTTCCTATTTATGGAGATCAAACATAATTGAAAATAGGAAAACTTAAGCTTTCCTAGGTGATCTATCTAATAGAAAAAATAAACTAATAAATTGAAGAATCTATAATAGAAAGTAATTAAGGTACTAACAAAAAAAATTATGAAAGACTCATACCAATTATGAGCCTATACTTAATAGTTCCTATAGCTAAATGCTCTAAGAAATATATGAAGATTTTAGAAATATAAATATTTCTTAACATTGAAATATTTATAAGCTTTCTCATGGTTGTTGCCTTGTTATATTTTTTATGTAAGACTAAGAGAGCTTGAGCACAATGGTTAGGAAAATTTATTAAGAATCACGGTTGGAGATCTCAAATCTCAATAATCAAATTATTATTTTTATAATAATCATATGAATAGTCTGACAAATAACTATGTTGTGGTATCATATTTATAGGTCCTAGATTACAACCAAAATAGAAATTCTTAAGTGTACCTAAGCATTCTACTAATAGGAAAATAAACTAATTAATTGGGAGAACCGACAATTGATCATAGCTAAATAAGTTCATAACTAAATATGAACTAAGAAACTTAATGCCACTAATTAACTTATAGATACTAGTTCCTAGATAAACTAAATACCTTAACAATACATAAACATTAAGATTACTTTATTTAAAAAAAAAACATTAATATTACATAAATATATCTCATTATCATATCAAAATATGCCTACTTTAAAATCTTCTTGTTCTGCATAATTCTTCCTTGATAAAAGCTCGAGCTCGAGTTTTTGAAGTAGAAAGAATATCAAGGTTGGAACTTGTCTTTTTAACAATTAAAGCTTTCGAAACTTGAGATTATTGTGAGACAACAAAAACGCTTCCAAGTCAAGGTTTTGAAGACAAAATTCACAAGAGGAAAAAATAACCAGACTTTCCTTATTGCTTTTAGGAGCCAAAGGAACTTTTTGAGTAGTATCTTCAGGTGAAGCCTCTTGCTTCTTAAAAGTAACAGGTATATTATCATTTTCAATCATATCACTGCTTGCAACTAAATCGAGATATCTACAGGTGACTCAACTTGTGTAATAGATATTACAATATCTTTCATAGTCTCCTTAGTTGTTTATCTATCAACTTGTTATCATTAGTTGGATGGTCAATGGTGATTTCCTCGGTTACCATTTATTAACTTGTTCTCACAAGCTAGATCAAAAGTGGGGGGTGATATCATCTTGCACCCCCCTTTTTTTGAAAGCGATCAACTTGCATCCCCTTGGTGCTTTTGTCTAGACAGCCCCTTGATGCAAACAATTTTATTGCCTATATCAAAAGCAATTGAATCTTATTAGCACAATTTTTGAGAACTAACCCATGTCTCCTATGTATGAGAACGGGGGAAACCTTTATGTTATCTCTTCAACATTACGCAGGATTGGAGAGAGCAACTCTATTGAGATGTGCTTCCTTCTAAAAGAGTGATATAATCTCTTCTATGTATGAGAGAACAGTTTTCCATTGAGGTCAGATAGATCTCGAGGAGTACTTAACATTTCTAAAACTAATTCGTCACTGCTAAGATCCATTATCACCAGATATAGTCTAATTCTTACAACTATTTCAATAATTAAGATTTCTTCTATGCCTCATCCAGTAACTCAATAATTTAAATGTACAAACAATTAGCTTAAGAACATTTTTTTTATCTGTGAAATTGTAAAGAATATCTGGTGCCGTCTTTCTAGTTAGCTTCCATATGCAGTAAGCAACTTCAAGTTTCAAATGAATATCAGAATGCTTGTGAAGTTGATCACCATCCAAGGCTTTTACTAATGGAGTAAAGTTCATCTCACATTGGCTCTTGATAAACTTTGAGAGACAATACTAAACTTGGTTCTAAAGATGGAGCCCACTAATTGAACAAGGAGCATTAATAAGCATACAACCAATTTCTATAAGCCATCATTCAAGCCCTTTATTGCATGATGCTATAACATCACCAGCACTATCTTCATTTTCTCTTCCATTAATCCAATTGGAAGACTTAACATGCATTTTAAGTAAAATAACTTCGGTGGAATACATGAATAGACATCAATTCATTTGAACAAATTATCAACCTGCCAAAAACTGAGTCTAGAATGGTAATTCAGCAAACTAACCTCAAGAGGTGAAACAGCACACCCAAGAACCTTGAGAATCAGTCTGAAAGTGTTGAGCATGAGCCTAGCGATAGCTGAACAGGATAAATCGAAGGATTGGGTCAAATTGAGTGGAACTAGTCAATAGAAGTCTTCAAACTTCCGCAACCCACACATATTGGTCAGCACTTGTTAGTCAGACGTTGGCTCCTAGCGAACTTTCAATGTTGGTTTTCTAGCAGATGATTCATTTAGAGGTGTTGGGTTGCATCTGGTGTCAATGTTACTCCTGACAGTTGGGGAGGATGAGTTCTTGCAAAGCAACTGTGAGAACAAGTGCTAGCCCCAGAATGCTCTAGTTTTTGGAGACTGGAGCACTCAAACTTGGTGGAGGAGCCAATTGGACCCTTCGAAGCCAATGGAAGGGGTAGTGATGACCACTCATGCTAGTGGCCGGGATTGTGTTGAGCCGACAGTTAATATGATGCTCCTCTGATTGTTGGAGACTGATTTATGGTGTATTATTTATTTATTTTTGGCAATAGGGTGGTTTTGTGAAGTTGGGATTAGAAAATCAGGTTTGTGTATTAAATCGAGTTTAGACTCCCATACCAATTGATGTAGGACAAAGAGAGCTCGAGTATAATCTGTAGAGAAATTAAGATCTAAAGTTGGAGTTCTCAAATATCAAAAATCAAATTAGTAACTCATTATTTGTATAGTAATTATATGAATAGTCTACCAACTACCTAAGTTAGGATACCCTATTTGTAGGTTTTAGATTACAATTAAAGTAAAAGTTCTTAAATCTCTTTAGGAATTCTACAAATTGGAAAATAAGCTAATTAACTGGAATAACACCATCAATAAACCTATAGATACTTTTTTTTTTTTTGGGGAAATGAATAAGTCTGTAGATATTAGTTTCTAAAAAAGCTAAATAACTCGATACATAAACATTACAACTGCATAAATATATTTTATCATCAAAATTTGTCCGCTCTATTCTACATCAATTTTCTTCTTGAATATTTCATAAATGCCGTAGAATTGGAGTTAGTTTCATAATTTAGTGCTAATTGTTATGAAAACCCGTGGCATCTGAGTACACTCTCTTTTTCCGTTTGATATAAAAAGTAGAGTACACTGGCTTTTAGACTAATATGATTTCTATATCTTCTTTACAGATCAGAATACCACAGCTTTTAAAGAGGTAGCAATTATACGTCATCCACGTGTTGGTGAATATGCTTTTGGTTTCATCACATCCACTGTCACTCTTCAGGTACTTAATATATGTGGATATATCTATGTATATATTTATATATGGACAATGTGTATGCATATCTTTTCATAGGAAAAGAAGATATATATTACCTTCAGGTACTTACAGTTTTTCCACTATATCTTCTCTTGCAAGTTAAATTGGTTAACTTCTTGTGAAGCAACTGTCAAATAATTTCTTTCAGCAAAACAAAAATGTCAAAGAATGTAGATTATACTCTTATTACTGCTTAATTGGTTAAAAGAAATAGATGCATATAAACATTATCAAAAGCAGAAACAGTCTCACAAACATCTATTTGACACAGGTGTGCATACACAAGAACTGCTATTCCACATCACTACATCCATATACGTCATATCATGGACTGCAGTGTTATTTTTTCTTTCGGAAAATTAACTCACACTTCCCTAGGAGATTGATTGTTGGACCTCAATCTACAACCCACTTTATTATGAAGTGTTACGGTTCCGGGTCTGGGATCTGGTTTTGGGTCTGTTAACCATAAAATCTTGCAGTAAGTGAGAAGCTTGTTTATTTGATTTACGGCTTTGATAATTTATATTTAGTGCTTGTTAAGCAAGATCCTCGATCTGTAGTGAATAACTGTAATAAGACGGTGAGCTTTTTACTTTTCTAAGGATCTAAATTGATGATTTCCTAGCCAAAACCAAATACAACCCAATGTGAAAGGCTAAGCCAAGGATAATCGAAAAGTCAAAGCCAAAAGAGAATTATATCTTAACATCCAGCTAAACCAAAAAGTCACAGGAAGAAGCTACAGTTGCTTTAGATTGCTGTTTCTCATGGATCCTGTAGTGATACGCAAGACCAGTGAGCCAGTTGGGCTTTATGTTCTTGAGCTTAACATGACTTTCCTCCTTCGAAGGTGATTCTCCTCAAGAGCACCAACTACATATACCCTTGTATACAGATTGGAGTTGCTTCAAAGGAAGCTTCTTTGGAAAGAAGATTGTCTCAGTGAGTATGAATTTCAGGTTTATGTGTCTAGAGTTGCTGGTCTAGTACAACCTGAGGAGCAGAATATTTTGCTAAAATGGACAATGGTTAGGTAGGTATAAGGAAGCCATATAAAGTTACCAAAGGAAGAAGGGCAAAATGGGAAATAAGTGTGAGGAAAGGGGATAGTTTTGTACTTCAACGAAACTCTTTTTTCATTTTGTTTCATTCCTTTGTAACCAAAGGACGCGCCTAACAGAAAGGGGTGCCTTCTTACCTATATAAACAGCTCTCCCAAGGGTAGAGCGCGTAAGAAAATTCAAATAAAATTTCCGTTCAAATTTCTCTTGCACTCTCTTGACTCTTTCTCTCTCTATTTTCTCTTTTGTGTAGCCGGAAGTCCCGAACCATGAGTAAAATTCCTAACAAGTTGGTGTCAGAGTCGTTAGAATCTAGTGAAACCTATGCTTCCGTAGCATCGCAAACTCGGTCTAAAGGAAAGTCAGTTGTGATGGAGCAACAAAAGATGCAGCAGGTGGAGGACTTTGTGAAGGAGGTCGATCAACAACTTATGAAATTCATGACTGAGGTTTACGAATCGCAATGCAAAACCAACCAACAATTCAACCAACAATTGTAGAAATGTTACACGGTGATGCGTGAATCAACGAGTCGAACAACCAAGCTGATCACTCAAGCTGGTTGCTATGGCGAAATGAGGAATCCCTTGTTCTCCGGCAATGCATGACACTGAGAAAATACCTTAACCGACCCGCAATCGGGCGATTGTGAGCCCGCCGATGTCCTTACCCAAGGTGGAAATCTATCGGTTTAGCGGAATTAATCTGAGGCTGTAGATACTGCGGTGTGACAAATATTTCTTGGTGTGTGGCACACCAGACAGATAAAAGGTTGAGGCTGCTTCCCTGTTTTTAAAAGAAGGCACAGATGTGTGGTACCTAAGTTGGCTGGCCAAGAATGAAGACTTGGAACGAGAAGGGTTGTGGAAGAGCTTTATCACAAGCTTGGTGGAGCGGCTATGAAGTTGAAGAGTTTAACAAGCTCGTAAAAATCTGGATTTTTTTTGGAGTATTAGGAACAGTTCAAGCACTTCAGGGTTTTGATGATCTTGGATAACTCAACCCTATCGGAAAGATTCTTTATATCGAGTTTCATCAATGGCTTGAAGCTAGAATTGCAGCCTATAATACGGTTGCTTAAGCCACGAACACTCAACTAGCATTGGAGCAATCTCTGCTTGAGAAACAATCCATCATTGAGATGTTTGGAAGTGCTTCTTTCACGAGAAATAGAGAATTGGAACATTTCTAGAACTCTACCCTCAAGAACTCACTAAAGGAGAATGAAGTAAAGAGAGCAACCACCTTCTATTACAAATGCGTTGAGTGCTACTCTCCTGGACAATGATCAGACCCAAAATTGTGATAGCTGTGGAAGGGTTTATTCCACTAACGGGAGGATAGG